GGTAGATTACTAGCATAGAAATCTACTATATAGTTTAATCTTTTCAGTTTTTAAAGAGTATAATGCTAATAAAATTGAAAAAAAAAATTTTTTTTCTATATATATACGTGTTATACATACTATATTCTGTTAGTACATTTTGTTAGTATAATGAAAGGTGATGATCATTACCTAATTGGCTGATTAGTAATACAGTATAAATGTAATTTAATACACATTATGGCTAACATTAAAGTTAGGGTTATGTATATACAGTATATATATGAAATTAGTTATATGTATATTATGTTAGTATTTTATATAGTAAAACTTGGTATACTGTATATTAAAATTTTATTTTTAACTGTATGTGATATATAAGTATATAACACTCTGGGTGCTAGATTTAAATGTTATGCAGGGGTGTAGATCTAGATTTATTCAAATTTAAATATTAAATCTAAATTTTTTATTACTAAAAAGCTTAAACTTATTTAAATTAAGAGTTATATAATTTAGTATATATGCATTATAATATACCTACTTGATCAACCAATCAGATTATAAGATCAGGTGTAATATGAAATCAAAAATAGTGATGTTTTGAAAAAATCGCTTATAACTTATAATTTTATTTATGAAACCACCTTTTGTGTTTTAATAAAAAAAATTTCTTGCAAAATTTTAGATATAATAATATTTATCTATAATCTAGCCTAATTCTACATTAGTGTTAACTCTTATTCTAAATTAATACGTTGTTAGTTTGTTTTGATTCTTTATATTGTATCATTCATATCTTGACTTTCTTCAGACTCAGCTTCTGATTGATCATTGATTTCATTTGTTTGAATTTCTTGAGCATTATCAGATACTTTACTAGCGGGGGTCTTTTATTTTTATCATGATGATTTTTATTGCATTTTCAATTGATATAGGCTTGAAGATAAGTGATAATTTCATTATCGTCTTTTTCAACTGCAAGTAATGTGGCTTTTCGTACCAATCTCTACATATGACCATACAAGTTTCTTTTATAATTAGATTTTTTAACAGTAGAAACAGTTGTTAGAACAATAGTAGATTTTCATATTGGTAAGATCTCACTGTTATTAAAAATGCCCATCTTATATCTAAATATTGTACTTTCTTTTTTCAAAATCGATCTATCTTGATAAAGATCTTTATACCACCTTTGAGATATCATACTAATATAGAATGCCACAACTTTTGAATACATCATAATGTGAAAATAGTGGTAGCATATGATTCCTTTTGAGATGGACATTAGGCATAAGTATAAGAAGAAAACTGTGTTTGCAATGATAACAAAATATACATGATATCATTTTTCACTTCTTATGTCTATAACTTTCCAAATTTCTAGCACTTCTTCCTGTTCTACTTTGTCAACAAGTACCTAGAGCATAATAAGATATACATTACAATGGTCTTCAATAAATCTATTAGACGATAGTTGATTATTTTTCTTTATAATACAAGGTATATTATTAGTTAAACCTGAATTTAATTAAGCAAATAATTTAGTATTGTAGATTATTATCTGTTCACAATATAACTCTTCAAAACTAGACTCGATATTGTTTATATTAACGAATAAACACTGAAATATTTCTACTTTAATTGTATTGAAAATAGATTCAGTGAGATATTCATCAATAATTTTTATCATTTCAGAAAACAGATCTTGTTTGGCAATAGAAATAGTATTCGTTGTAATAGACTATCTATACTCATAAAACTGATTCTATTGTATTTTATCTTTTAGTCTTGTGTCAAGCCAATCAGCAAGCTCGCATAGTGTACTGTTTGCTTTTAGTTGTTACTTAATAATCCAATTATAACTTTCAACTCTTGCTATGCTTTCAACATCTGTTATGAATATTTTGTAAAGATAAACTCGAGCCCATGAACAATATTTTGGATCCAATATATATAAGAAATAATTCTTTGCTATTGAGAAATCGTTAAGTAATTTGCTCCACCTTTCTTTAAATAGCAGTTTATATAAACTATTATGATATTTATAAAATTGCTTGATAAAATTATCCCAATTAATATCTAACTTTGCTTTTAGATTTTTAGATAAGTTTTGTATAATATGGAAGATACAATAGGCCGAATATGTTTTAAGAAAAACAATTGAAATTGCAGAATCAAGTGCAGGATCTCTGTCAATAAACATAACAATTAGACCTTTTTCTACAGCCTTTTTGATATGCTCAAGTGTCCAAACATGAGTATCAACAGTTTTATCACTCATCAATATCTGGCAAGCGAGATGTGTTTTATATTTGTTGTCAATTATTACGAAAAGTCCTAATAGCATTTGGTATTGATTGGTTCAAGCTGTGTTGTTATTAACAACAACATCATAATATCTAAACCAAAAATTAATCTGGCTTAGAGATATCCAAAGAAGACAAATTAGATAATTATCATTATCCAG